AAATGTAACAGCTTGGGAACATATTAGACGACATATTTAAAGATAATAAAACGACGGTTTTATTGGAAAAATCGTCGTTTGTAACTATAATCAACGACCATTTTTAACACAATACCGTCGTCTTTATATACAATCAACAACGCTATTTAACAAAACACCGTCATCTTTATATACAATCAACGACGGTTTTAACAAAATACTGTCGTCTTTACCAATAAATAACGACGGTTTTTATTAAACCGTCGTCTTTATATACAATCAACGACGGTTTTAACAAAATACCGTTGTCTTTACCAATAAATAACGACGGTTTTTATTAAACCGTCATCTTTACATTAATAGACGACGGTTCTTTAATAAAAATTGTCGTCTTTACATCTAATAGACGACGGTTCTTTTAAAAACCGTCGTACCGTCGTAATTTGACATTTAAAAAGATGACGGTCGATTTAACGACGGTTTGAAAAAGAAAAAGACGACGGTGTTTCCCCGTCGTCTATTTCAATTTTTGTAGTAGTGTTCCCATCCTCTCATCTAGGGTTTGTAAAACAATAGAGAACTCAAGAATAGTTTGTTGAGCTTGTATCCATCAACACGATGGAACAACTATTTATATTAGCAAAACAAATGTATCAGTTACAAAGATTACATCGTATCCCTATATAAGTGGGAGCCAAAACTATACATTTGAAATACAAATAAAAACCATATCAGATTACAACTGAAGAAGTTCATACAGACTAAGACTCCTTCTCCACACCCGTTACAGAATTTGAATTTGAACAAGCACATAAGCTTTGAATAAAATCCCCCCACAAGCTGACAGGACGAGAAACAACGGGAAGCTTAGACACCAAGTATTTGAACCGCACAGTATACAACCCTTTGGTAAAAAGATCATAAATATGATCTTGTGAACAAACAAAATGAACAAGCAATTCTCCCTGAACCACCTTCTCTCGAACTTAGTGATAATCAACCTCTAAATGTTTGGTTCGAGAATGAAACACAGGATTGGAAGCCATAGCAAGAGAGGGCACATTATCACACCAAATCTGGGTAACCAATTTGCTGGTGTTTTGTTCTTGCTGGTTGACTAGTTATCATCTGATTGTTTCTGTTTATTGTTTTGATTGATTTTCGCACATACTTCACTTTAGTTGTTGCTAGCACTAGGAATGCCTAGATTGATGGATCCTTCTGAGTGCCTAGGTTGTCACTTAGTCATCTTCTTGGTTTCCAAGGGCTTGAGATTTGATTGGTGAATGAATGAGTATTCTGCTGTGTGTTCTTAGGTTTATGACTAGTTGTCATATTTCTGCTAGTTCATTTGATCATTGCCATTGTTAGATCTATTTGATTAGGGGATTTGGATCTGTGTATTCGGTGTCTGTTCATAGGTCTATGACTAGTAGTTGACTAGTCATATTGTTACTAGGAAGAATTAATCATTGTTGTCTTACATTTGTCCATTAAGGTTTTAATTTACCCCTTCACCTAAGTACCAACTTCAGTTTCCTTTGATTGTCTTCAAAACTATGCAATGATAAATTATTACTTGCTCATGAACATTAGTTGTACGTCATTATTCTTGATGCAAAAAAATAAAAAATAAAAACAAAACAAAACCAAATCGACGTAATATTAGAAAATGCAAAAAGTTTGATAAAATAAGAAAAAATGATTTAAATTGTACCAAATAAAACCATAGTTTGAGTTTTAAATCGCAACATACCTGACCAAGTGATCTTCATTCGATTGCATTGTTCATTTCCTTCATTTTGAACTTTTACCCAAATTATAGTAATAAACCTCAATTAATATATTTTGAATTACTATTTCTACTACAATTATGGATATCTTTTGTCATAATTGATTTGGATATATATTTTTATGTTGTCCACATTTTTCATATCCCCTCATGTTCATATTCATCTACATGTCCTCTTGGATAACATAGTGAAAACGCCGTTAAATAGAATATTAAAAATAAAAAAAATTCATGAAAACTTCAACGACCAAATTCATATGCTTCTGAATATTTTGGAGATTTGATCCTCTCAAAATGTGTAAATTATCATCAAATTATAAGATTACAAGATTCCTAACTTGTAATAATAAATTATTGGAAAATGGAAATTATAATTATTTTGTCAGATCATGTTCCTCTCTTTGCTTGGCACAGTTTCCTCCTGGTGGAAACATGGGGAACGTGAATGGCTCGATCATGTTGCACAATTATTAAAGATTCCCCATCTCCGGAGACTCATGTTGCACAATTATTTTGTCAGATCATGTTCCTCTCTAACAGAAGCTAACTCCAAGGATAAAATACATTGAAAAACTTAAACTGATTCTGATTTATTATTTTTCCTATTAATGCATATTTTGGAGATTTGTGTTAACTATGGAGAGGAAGAAGTGACGAAGAAAGAGAGAAAAGTAAAGCTCTGTATATTCTCAAAAATTGTATCTTTACATGATGATGAAATGAACCATACCCAAACTTATATACACTACAAGAAAACCAGGCATTTACGGCGTGTAATTTACGGGGTGCATTTGTAGAGCGCAGTAAAATAATACTTTTTATGGCGTTCATTTTAGGAGCGCTGTAAATGAAATTTCCATTCCCTTTATTACGGCGTGCTTGTAGTGCGTGCCGTAGTTGTTTGGTATTAAGGGCGTGCAAAACATGCACGCCGTGAATTGAATTTGTTTTAATGGCGTGCAGAACGCGCACGCCGTAATTGAACATCAGCTTTTCTCACTTAATATTTGTTGCCCGCCAAAATCCTCCCCCTTTCCCTCTTAGAATTTTCATGTTCCCCGAATACTATCCCCCTAATTTTTCGTGTAGCAGCGCTTCTATTTTTCTTCCAGAGCCCTCTCTGACCCTACACTCACTCACTCTCTCTCTAACCCAAAACCCTCTCTGGCTCTATCTGATTCCAAATCCCTTTTATTCTCTTTAACCCCAAACGAGATCATTCTTTCTCATCTAGAAATCCTCTTCGTTCCCAAACCCTCTCACGACTGCAATCGCAAGGTAACCCTAACTCTCTGTATCGCTCTTTTATTTTCCAGATGTTATAAAAAAGTTCTTTCAATTTAGCCTTGCGGAACCTCACGGCTGCACTCTCAATTGGTTTTACTAAATTTTGTAGAACGTCACTGGCTACGAGGTTTCAAAATCAAATTCTTTCAATTATTTCAATTTATGTGCTACAAAGTTTCAAATTCTTTCAAAAGTTTAATTTATATTTAGATTTTTTATTATTCATTTTGCTGAATCTAATGGTGCTTTGGTTTGTTTTTAGAAGAGGGGCCATGTGATTGGTTGAAGTTGCAGAAAAAGCTAGGTGAGAGGACGGTGGGAAAGAGGTAAAAGTCAGCTTCTTATACAGTTTAAAAAATAAATAAAATTGTTGGCCAGTATGTTCAATCTGAAGATTCTTCTAATTGAATTTTATTTTTTTAATCCTCTTCCTCTGCTGCCAAGGATCAACGCCACTACCCCATGACCACTGACTGCTCCACATTTTTTTAAGAATTGTTTCTTATTCGTTTCAGTTTTAATTTGTTTTGGTGTTTGTTGCATTCCTAAAAGGACACAAATTAATGTGCAAACAACCAATTAAAAATACCCGCAAGTGCACGAATCTAATGAGGTATAGATTATGTAAGTACGGGGTCGATCCCACAAAGAACTTGTCGGCTTCCTATAAGTTTTAGTTTGAGTACGTAAAGAACACTAATTTAACACACCACAAATGCACAAATGCAAATTGGAAACTAAAAATGAGTAAAGAAATGTAAAAGAAATGAAACAACACAAGAAAACTAAACAAAAACACAAACAGCATTTTCAATCGCCATTTTATCACCACTTTATCACCTGTGAACAGTGCCGTGAACAGTGAACAGTGACCAGTGCGACCGGTCGCTGAACAGTAACGACCGGTCGTTTTTGGGCAGATTCGTTTCTCTGTTTTTCCTGTTTCGACCTCTGTCCAGTGTTTTGCCTATAACTTTCCAACCGTTTATCC